CAAGTGAGTACAAGTTATCAATCAACAATACTTTCAATTAATAACAAACAGCATTGTTATTGAATATTTTTCCTGGATTAATCATCTGGTAATTTCGAGAGTTCAAAATCCGTCTTATTTCTAAATAAAAGACAGCTTCTCATTTTTGGTATCATACTTTGTTCCTCGTTTATTCCTTTAATAATAAAATAATATTCCGAGCGAAGCATTATAAAAATTCGAGTATCGTTTAGAACCAAACCAACTTTATCTTGTTTAAGTTCAGTGACTAGTTTCTCTTCCTTCATAGTAAATACATTTTAACGTGGTTCTTATCTATGTTTACGATAATTTGATTGCTGTGTTAAAATGATAAACTGAATCCGCCATATTCCATCGATTTTGATAGCAAAAACGTTATAAAAGCAACAATACAACAACTATTTAAATAAGTATTATCACACACCACATACAGTGCTCAGATCCCAAATTAAGTAGTTCTTTTAACACTTTTATGGAAATAAAGTGATGAGACTGACGCGATCGAGAATCTGAACCCGATATCTCAGATATGGTATACCTTAACGTAGACGTACAGGTCATAAATTAACTTAAACTTCTAAATATAGACTAACTCAAAACCAGTTTCCGTACAAAAAGAAACAGGTTTTTATAAAGTTCCGATTTCTGTCATCAACATCTTCATACGATAATTTTTTAAAAGCGATGTTTAGAGCTGCTTAGAGCAATGCTTAAACTGTGTGTGGTTACAAAATTCATAAAGTTTATAGGTTATTATAGGTTACGCTGAACATTTTTGCTAAATGATATTTACAAAATATAGTAGTAGTCTTTGATAACAAGAGACCTGGTAGTACGATACTTGATACTTTACCCAAGGCCCTAATAATGTTTTGACCGAATTTCGACTGCCAGTCGACCAATAATATTTATTAAACAATTAAGTACATACACTTAATGAAAAATGCTTCAAAAAATTTTTCAGTAGTTACCGTTGGATCTCCATTTCGGGTACCTAAGACCGGTACATTTTTTAAGCATTTTTCATTAAGAATATTTACCAGCATTCGTATGCAAATTTGATTAAATATAACGATTAATTACATGTTACAGATTATAACATTATCAATATGGTGAAATCACGAAAATACGTCGTCAAAAAACATTTTCAAGGTGTTCCTAAGAAAACAGACTACGAAGTAGTAGAACAAGAACTTCCATCTCTGAAGGATGGAGAGATTCTAGTCAAAGCTGAATGGATTAGCGTAGACCCATACCTACGTGCTTACAACGCATCACAGGTGGTACCCTACGACCAATTTAGTTTCCAAGTTGCTGCTGTCGTGGAAAGTAAGAACACAGATTACCCAGTAGGATCAAAGATCGTATCACACAGAGGTTGGGTCGATTACACTATCCTAAATCCCAAAACTGAACAAAGATTCTATAAGCTACCGAATCTCGATGGTTTATCGTCTTCATTGGGAGTAGGCGCTGTCGGTATGCCTGGTGTAACTGCCTACTATGGTTTCCTGGACATATGTAAGCCCAAAGCAGGAGAAACTGTGGTTGTAACAGGTGCCGCCGGGGCTGTAGGCTCCCTGGTTGGCCAAATAGCCAAAATTAAAGGATGCCGTGTCATAGGCTTCGCAGGCTCTGATGACAAAATCAAATGGTTGGAACAGGAGTTGGGATTTGACAAGGCCTTTAACTACAAGACAGTTGACGTCGCGAAAGCTCTGAAAGAAGCAGCTCCTAAGGGAGTTGATTGCTACTTCGATAACGTCGGTGGGGAAATAAGCAGTATTATCATTAACCAGATGAATTTGTTCGGCAGAGTATCTGTATGTGGAAGTATCAGTGCATATAATGAAGATCCTAGACAGCTGCCTAAAGCGACTATTATACAGCCAGCTATAGTATCGAAGCAATTGAAGGTTGAAGGTTTCTTAGTATGGCGTTGGGAGGATTGGAATGCGGCATTCGTGGATTTGGTGAAGTGGATCAAGAGTGGCCAGTTGAAAACTCAAGAACATGTAACCGAAGGTTTTGATAAACTATATGATGCTTTCATTGGTATGCTCGCTGGTGAGAACAAAGGAAAAGCTGTGGTGAAAGTTTAATGCTCTGTGATATTCTAAATTTATTTATGTTAGTTGGATAAATAACATTAACATTGAAAGATTATATTCATTGTGTATTTTCTGAAATCAATACTTAGACGATAAGATAAAGATAGTAGACGTAGATATATGATATGGTAAGAGTAGCGTATTTCTACCGAATAGTAACTGATTATAGGAATTCATTGTATGTACAAAAACTCACTTTCAAATATTCAACTTTGAGACTTAATACAATTTTTTTTACCATATCTTTCTTTACTGATTTTTAACCCCATCGTATTTACACAAACCGATACCACAACAAATAATTAAATTAAATATTAAATAAATATGCCAGTTCTGTTTTTCACGGAACTGTATCTGTTGAATAATAATAAGTTCGTCATTATCATCAGCCGTAAGACTGCTGAGCATAGGGCTCCCCTATAAATATCCACGACGAACGGTCCTGCGTTGTACGCATCCAGCGGCTTCCCGCAACCTTTATAAGATCGTCGGTCCACTTGGGGGCCAATTCAACTAAATAAATTTTGTTTAAATCGAATAGAAAACGGAACGAAACTACAGTTTTTAATGGTTTTTCTATTCTACAAAGTGATATACGATACAATTCTAGTTCTATTCTAGCTGGAATTGTATCGTATGTCACTAAGTAGAATAGAAAAACCATTAAAAACTGTAGTTTCGTTCGGTTTCGATCCATTTTCGATTCGATTTAAACAAAATTTATTTAGTAGAATTGGCCCCCTGGTGGGAGACCTACCCACCGAGCGTTGTCCGTAATAATAAGTTAGATACACTTAAAATTATCTCTTCGTTAGATACACTTAAAATTATCACTTACCTATTACGTATTACTGAGGCTACTGTCATGACAAATGAGATTATACAAGATACTTATGTAATTTTGTGACAAACCGATAAATGGACAGGCAAACAAACACTCGCCTTGTTTTTTGAAGTTTTTTTAATAATAGTAGTAAATTCTTTTTGCAAAATTAAATAAGACATTGAGTATAAGTTTCGTTTTGTTACTAATGAACGCGTTTTTCTATAGAAATTCATAATCATTGAGAGGTAGTTACCGCTAAAGACACTTTACTGCTAAATCTTAACGCATTTAACTGCAAAAGTCAATGATAAAATTCATATTGCACACCCAGTTAAAACGCCAATATATATAACAGCCTTTCAGCTCTAGGTGCCATGTTAATTCGAACAATTATAAAGATCAGTCCACAGTGAACGTTCATCTAAAAAACGTCAACCAACTTGGCGTTTTGTTTAATTAAATTCACTAATTTTAAATATTACTCCACGTAATTGGTTGAATACTCATCTGCGACCTTTTAAACTTGAACTCGCTCACTACGTTTAAGTAGCATGACACACAATTTTCAAATTATCGGTAGCAGAGAAAGCGAAAAGATAAAACGAAATCCTTATAGGGTCACTCGATTGTCTGTATGTTTTAAACACAAAGGCATTTTTTGGAGTACCTAATTATATGCCTAAATTTTGATAAACTCAGAATACTGCTTTCTAAATCCGTAGGAAGTCTATGGTTTTTAAAATTCTATATTTATGCGAATCCCTGTTGCGAGAGTCTGGCTATTGGTGAATTTATAATCTTTAATTTTTATCGCAGGCCGTTCTAAACTATAGTAGATCGACGATAATTAATAGATCGCACCTTGCCTACGATTGATAACTGAACTAGTTATAAGTTAACAAGATTTGTTATACACTAGTGTATAACCTGCAACAGCACCGGCCGGTTGATTTGTTTAATTGCTTTATTCTAAACTTTGAGTGAGTACAATTTTTTTAATGTCTTTTTAATCTTAATTATTTAATCACTTTCAAATATCTAGTACACAACTTTGTTAGAAACGACGTTCTGATTCTTTTCAGTTTTTAACTACGCGTACGTAGAACCTGTTAGTTTTTATTTAATGATTAGAAGGATTATTTGCGAATGAAGGATTTTCGTTACGAATTTTTAGATTCCGTACGTACTACTAAAACTCCGTTGTCCGTCCGTTCGTCTGTCACCAGGCTATATCTCATGAACCGTGATAGCTACACAGTTGAAATTTTCACATATGATTGCCGCCCTACCAACAAATAACTAAAATATGAAGTAAAATATATATTTTAGGAATCTCCCATACAACAAACGTGATTTTTTACGTTTTTATTAATAATGGTACCTATGGAACCCTGCGTACACGAGTCCGACTAGCACTTGGCTGGTTTTTATATTTACGCTTATCTTAGAATACTTGAATGTTTTTTTACTTACTCATAAGCCCATTAAGGATCGGTTGAGTAAACTAACCGAATAGGCATTTATTATAATCCATAATATGAAATATTCAAATTCCTTAATTGTCAATAAGTCTAAGAAAGTCGCAATAGATTTACGGATTCATTCGGCTTATCTTGAAAGCGACTTAATTATTCAAGAAACCACTATTGAAGTAGGCGGTAATCATTTAATTAATAACTAACCTACAGAAAACCTCCGCCCGGCTTCAATGGCGGTTTCTTGAATAATTAAGTCGTTTTGAGGATATTATATCTCACATTTATAATTTGAAGGTTTTGTTTTTGGAAAAGAAAAATAACGATTTTATAAAAAAATTTTTTTTCAATAATATCAAATTAAGTTTTTACGCGTACTAGCTTTCGCCGGCGGCTTCACCCGCGTGGTCCCTAGGAAAATGTTTAGTGGGATAAAAATACTACTATCTAAGTCAGCTAATACCCTATCTATATACCAAATTTCATCAAAATCCATTCATTAGTATCGGCGTGATTGACGGACAAACATCCAAACAAGGAAACTTTCACATTTATAATATTAATAGGATGACTAATAAAATACATATTACAGGTATACACAACACCAACATGGTGAAAGCACGAAAATACATCGTCAAGAAATATTTTCAAGGTCTTCCGAAGAAAACTGACTACGAATTTGTAGAACAGGAGCTTCCACCTCTAAAAGATGGAGAGATTCTGGCCAAAGCTGAATGGATCAGCGTAGACCCATACATGCGCGCTTATAATCCACAACAAAAACTACCCTATGATCAAATTAGCTTCCAAGTGGCTTCTGTTGTTGAAAGTAAGAATGCCGATTATCCGGTAGGATCAAGAATCGTTTCAATCAGAGGTTGGGTCGATTACACTGTCATAGATCCCAAAACTGAACAGAGATTCTATAAGCTACCGAACCTAGATGGTCTGTCACCTTCTTTGGGAATAGGTGCTGTCGGTATGCCTGGTGTAACTGCCTACTATGGTTTCTTAGACCTCTGTAAGCCCAAAGCAGGAGAAACTGTGGTCGTGACAGGTGCTGCTGGGGCTGTAGGCTCCCTTGTTGGCCAAATAGCCAAAATCAAAGGATGCCGTGTCATAGGCTTCGCAGGCTCCGATGACAAAGTCAAATGGCTAGAGCAGGAATTGGGATTCGACAAAGCCTTTAACTACAAGACAGTTGACGCCGCAAAAGCTCTAAAAGAAGCAGCTCCTAAGGGAGTTGATTGCTACTTCGACAATGTCGGTGGAGAACTTAGCAGTATTATCATTAACCAGATGAATTTGCTCGGCAGAGTATCTGTATGTGGAAGTATCAGTGCATATAATGAAGATCCTAGACAGCTGCCTAAAGCGACTATTATACAGCCAGCTATAGTATCGAAGCAATTGAAGGTTGAAGGTTTCTTAGTATGGCGTTGGGAGGATTGGAATGCGGCATTCGTGGATTTAGTGAAGTGGATCAAGAGTGGCCAGTTAAAAACTCAAGAACATGTAACCGAAGGTTTTGATAAACTTTATGATGCTTTCATTGGTATGCTCGCTGGTGAGAACAAAGGAAAAGCTGTGGTGAAAGTTTAATGTTTTGTAATCGTGATTAGATTTCATAGTAACGTGAAAATTATATTTTGTATAATGTGTGAAGATATCTAAAATTACCAAAAGATGATCTACCTAGTCGCAATAATATAAATAAAATCTTGAACTATCTAAGACTACGAATAGTTTCTCCATTAACGAGACTCTACTTTTTAACCGATTTCAAAAAGGGGGAGAGGTTCTTATTTCGACTGAATGTTTTTTTAATTATTTTTTTTTACATCGCCAAACTAAGATATATGATAGATAATAGTTTAACTTGAACACAATATAGTCTATGGCTTGAAGCCCTATGAAGGCAAGTGCCTATTTTAGAAGGCAACGAATACTAAGAATATAAAGATGGCTTTTATAGCCATAATTATATTACAACTAACAACAGCAATAGACATTTTATGATTCCGTATAAAAAAAGACAAACCTTATAGGATTACTCGGATAAGTGTTTATATATTTGTCACATTCAATTTTCTCTGAAACTATTAGATTGATTGAATTAAAATTTAATAAGTACACACACAAAATGTTAGTCGGTGACTTTCTAAAATTCTCATAGAGAAAAAAACGGAAAAAGCTTTACATCTAAATTACAAAAATTTTATGTATAAGTTTATGGTTTTTGAAATTTCATATTTTTACTGAACCGTCTACGCGTCAGTCCGACTCGCTCTTGGTCGGTTTTATAAAACAAAATCATGAATTGAAGATAAGATAGAACAAAGGGCACTTTTTTCTTCAGATTAAAACAAGATGATAAAAACACGTTATTTTTATCGTAAATCTAAGATAATTCTTAATATCAACACATTGTGCTACACGTTTCAAATTCATACCTATACTTAGTTAGATAACGAAGTAGGAGTAAATACATAATACCTGTAAATTAGTGATATGAATAAAGTTCAAGAGCAAAGTATGGCGTTAAAATCCATGGCGAACAAAATGTTTTTCATTACTATATTTTATTAATTTTGCATTCACAATGTTATACATACCAAGGTCCTATGTCAGAGTACCTAGGGCTAGTGGGATCTTTAATTATTTTTCGTTTAGAATGTGTTTTTCATTGTTAATCGATTTTAATAATTCATATACATATCATTAGTTTATGAACTTAAGGTGGTGCCAAATTTTAATGAAAACGAATTAGTTCTGTTTATACGGCAAAAAATGTTTGCTAAATAGCAAAACTTACTTAGATAATCTATGATTATAAAAATAACATGAGACAAACGTATTTTGCATTAGTATACTTATTATGACCCTTATATATATTATGATATATAAGCAGCGCAAATAATACAGTGTAAATAATACTTATTTTTATTTAAGGAACTGTTATTGTAGTGGGACGGTTATCATTTAATGATCTAAAGGAAATTTTTACCCAACTTATAACACTTCATAACTTACAGAAAACCTTCGCCCGAATTTAATAGGAGATTCTTGAACAATTAAACTGCATTTAAGATAAATATTTTTCACTTATTTAAAGTTTGAAGTCGGTTCTATTTTTTGAACAAATAAAATAGTTAATTATTTTTTAATCCGTTTGTATTCATTGTACTATATTTCCATTATGAATGCAAAATTCAACGTATACATAAAACGACATCATGAAAAAACTATTATTTAAAATGAAAAATGATAAAAGGAACCTAAAGATGATTTTAAAATACCTATTCAACGACAAACCACTTGACATAGTTCATCGATTTTAATTTTTTTCATTTTGACAATATGGCGTCTGGTTGTCGCTGTGGTGAATTTTGATTACTGTCATCTCTCAAGTGGCACTCGCAAGGTTAAGACGAATCGATTGACGTAAGAATCATCAAAATCGGCCTACGCATTTGGTCTCTAGAACGCCACATAGAAACAAACATATATATATATACATACAAACATACATAGACTGATAAACACATTATCCTCCTTTGCGTCGCGCAGTCGGGTAAAACAGCTTATTGTTTTATGGTGAGATGTGAGTCGCTATCGTGTGGATTGTGAGAGTTCAAGAATCAAGAAAAATCAAGAAATTGACTGTAAAAATAGATAACGTAAGAAATAATATTACGTGTTAAATATTATTTCCACTGTGTTGAAAATTATTAAATATGTGTATTAAATGGAAATGAAATTTTATATTTTCGTTTTTTATGAATAAAAAAATAAGTTCAAAGACTAGTCGGGTTTCAGTTTTTGAACTTATTTTTTTAATTTGATACCCTAGACGGAATGATATATATATACATATATTTAGTTAGAGGGCGCTGTTGCTAATGTAACATAGCCTATAGCAAGCGGACAACTAAGAGGCTTTTAATAATACCTCATTTGTCCATTTTCAATGAGTAGTTTCGAAGTTATAAGGGGACAGATGAAAATTCTTACATACAAACTTACATATCAGCCAAAATCATAAGCCTCCTTTTCGCTTCGCCGCCGTAGTTTGGTAAAAACAACAAAAACACACTGATTCTCCGTTACAAAATGACACCACAGCAGCAGACAATACCTTACCTATTTTTTTTTAACTATAAGTTGTAGAAAAATACCTAACTTCTTTATAGACAAACATCTTATAGGTTCCACAAAAAAAAATGTTATACTCCTTTTTTACGTTTAAACTTTTCAAGGCATGTCACTCCAAACTACGTTCTCTACGAATTTTGCATAATTTAATGTAATGGTTCTCAAAGGGTGATTCGCGGACCACTTGTGGTTCCTGGAAGCACCCGAAGCGGCCCGCGGAGACTCATAAAATTATTACAAAATAATATCAATTACATGTATATAATAACATCAATTTTATGCGTATTTTATTTATGTACATCTATGGTTATCGTAAAAACAAAGACGCTTTATAATGTCCGTACGTTGAGATATCTTAAACGCCCAACGGATTTTAATGGGGGCTTTCATCAATATACCTACAGAGTGGTTCAGGAAGAAGGTTTATATGTACAATAGAGGAGCATGCGAACGAAGTCGTTGACCAATAGCTGGTAGATATATAAATCGTAAAATAATAATCTAATTCTAAGTTACTTTTCCATCTGATTTCGCCAGTATGAGGTAAAAGTGGGGGGACCAACAAACTTTTTATTTACATCTTAAGTCTTCAGAGGTACAAATAGTACATATATATCAAATTTCGGGATGCCTTTTTTTAAAGGGTTTAGTCCGCCATTTTGAGGCTAACCATATTAAACCAAAGGAATCCAAACCTAGGAAAAAATTCGACTAAACCTTAACGGTCCGGGGCTACTATGGAAAGATAGAAAATGGTCTCTACCAATTAAAATGTTTAGAACCGCTGATTTTATGCGTCTACGTATAGCTTACTGTTTTTAACCATCAATCACCTGCATACATTAAACAGATAATTTGTGACAACACCGGCAGATTTACTCTTCAGTGATATTCAATTATATAAATTCACCAGGTCGAGTGAGTATTTGTTTTTCAATTAAAAGATTTATTTTCAGATAAATACAATATTTTTAAAACAGACGTACGAACAGACTGCATCTTATTTCTTAAAAAAAACATAGTTCACCATAACATTATCAAAGTAAAAAACATTTGACGAGTATTTTTGTACATTCAAAATTTTAGTTTTAGCTGATCTCAATATAAATTTTAATCATTATTAAACAAAGTCTTCTAAAGCGTCACATACAATCCTGGATGGTGTGTCGATCGATTGACGAAAATTACCCCTACAATATAGAATATTATTTAAATGTTAGCACACATGTATGAATAAAAGAAAGAAATAAAATCCGATTAGGTTATAGTTAAACGACGAAATCCATTACATATCAAATAAATGGAAAAGTTTGTGGATTTTCACAATTTGAACTTAAATTTAAACCTAAACTCATTAAGAGTGGATTTGAAGTTTGAACTTTCGGTTCTGTTCAGTTCGGTGTAACAACATACCTTAAACTTCAATACAATAAAAGAATACGAAAAATAATATTAAATATCTCCATTTATTATACATACATTGCATAGATTCCAAATCTAAAACAACGAAGGTTACACAACCTTCAGACCCAAGATAATATAGAAAAAGTCGGAGAAAGTCAAAAGTCCTCGGAGATGGTGACCACTCGATCAACCACGGAGGTCAATTCGAGTTTTGTCTGCCAGTTTGGCGCACTGGCGCAGCGCAGTACAATTGTATAGAGCAACAACGTATAACTCCGTTCTGACGCAACGCATAATTCAATTTGATATGACGCGCCCTATTTGTCCGTAATTTACTAGTTATCATTCATTGGCTAATTTTACAGGTGAGTTTTTTTCTAACACTGTTTACTATATCGTTGTTATAGATATGTATAATGAATGGGTAGCTTGACGTGCAGCCGTGTGTACCACAACATCGGGACTCTAGATAATAAGGAAAGGTTCTTTTCCTACACTGGATTGCCCATCTGACCCAGAGACGACGACACCTTTAAAACCTGCGTATGAACTATGGATACCATAATAATTTATATTAAGCGAACACTTGCATCACACATAATAATAATAATATTTATTTATCTGACAATAAATCTATGCATTAAGTATCTGAAAAGGTAACAGAATAATTTGTGGAGTATAATAAAAGACCTCATCTCTTAACAACTTATTAATTTTCATAACATATAAAATAGTTTTAGCTATTATTAAGTCAAAACATTTGTACACAATGTTGTCTTTATACACGTATGTATATGTATATTACAGATTAAAACAACACCAACATGGTAAAAGCGCGAAAATACGTGGTCAAGAACTATTTTCAAGGTGCTCCAAAGAAGACAGACTACGAAGTAGTAGAAGAAGAACTTCCAACTCTGAAGGATGGAGAGGTTCTGACCAAAGCTGAATGGATCAGCGTAGACCCGTACTTACGTGCTTACAATCCACAACAAAAGGTACCTTACGATCAATATAGCATTCAAGTAGCTGTTATTATAGAAAGCAAAAATGCCGATTATCCAGTAGGATCAAAGGTCATATCACAAAAAGGTTGGGTTGATTACTCTATCGTGAATCCCAAAACTGAACAGAAATTCTACAAACTACCGAATCTCGATGGTTTATCGCCTTCATTGGGAGTAGGTGCTGTCGGCATGACTGGTGTAACAGCCTACTATGGTTTCCTAGATCTCTGTAAGCCCAAGGAAGGTGAAACTGTAGTCGTAACGGGTGCCGCCGGGGCTGTAGGCTCCCTTGTTGGCCAAATAGCTAAAATTAAGGGATGTCGCGCCATAGGCTTCGCAGGATCTGATGACAAAGTTAAATGGCTGGAACAGGAGTTGGGATTTGACAAAGCCTTTAACTACAAGACAATTAACGTTGCTAAAGCTCTAAAGGAGGCAGCTCCAAACGGAGTCGACTGTTACTTCGACAATGTCGGTGGGGAAATTAGCAGTGTAATCATGCGTCAGATGAATTTATACGGCAGAGTTTCTGTGTGTGGAAGTATCAGTGCATATAATGAATATCCTAAACAGCCGAAAGCCACTATCCTACAGCCAATTATTGTGGCTAAACAATTAAAGGTTGAAGGTTTTTTAGTATGGCGTTGGGAGAATTGGAGTACGGCCTTCACTGATCTAGTAAAGTGGATCAAAAGCGGCGAGTTAAAGGCCGAAGAACATGTAACTGAAGGATTTGATAATATATTTGATGCTTTCATCGGTATGCTTGCTGGTGAGAACAAAGGAAAAGCAGTTGTGAAAGTTTAATGTTCTGTAGTCACGATTATTATCTTTAAAGTAATATTGACAAAATTAGGCAGTTCTTAGTAACCTGATATGCTATTGAATATATATATGAATGTATAAAAAAATAATCCAATAAATTTTTAGGTAAGTATGTATACCAGGTCAGAGATTGCTATATTAAAACGACAAAACAGAATCCTTACTCAGTCAATGGCTTTTATTTGTTCGACTGTCAAGCATAACTGTTTTCGTCCGAAACGTAGACCAATAGAGCTGACCTTTGGTAAACATTTGTATATAAATGGCAAAAATAAATAAAAAGTAAATTAAGTTTCTGTTACTTCAGAATATGCTAATGTGCCCCTATTGCTCATATTCAAACTTACGGGTCTAAATCAGAAAAAAATAAAATATACTGCTCTTTACCTGTAGATAAGAGGATATATGTAAAGCGCGCGAGTCCGACTAGAACATGGCCGTTTTCTTCATCACAAACAACTTTTAAAAAACTCTGATGGAATAAAGACATGCATTATATTTTACACCCACTTACCACATAAGAAGAATTCAATATCAACAAGCAGCTAATGAGCACGACCAATGTATCAGAAGCTTCAAGACACCACATTACTCCTGAAATAACCATTTAAATTTTGAAGCATTTTCAAATTATCATAGTCAAAGCATTAATTTAAATCATTGAGTCAAATACTGTAAAATGCAACAGATGTGTAATCAACGGGATCAAAAACTCAGTACAAGTTGTCCAGGCAAATATTTATACCGATTATGAACGTGGTCATTTAGGTAGGTAAACACTATTAATTTTAAAGGAAATAAATACTCACTGGAGACATCAATATCGTCTATGTAAAGCTTTTCGTCTTTGCTCATCAACATAAAGTGTAAATCATTAGGAAGAGGTTCTTCATCGAACTTCACAATTTCAAACTTCACATTAGATGTCAAACCCATAATGAGACATACGGTAGCCATGAATGAAGCAGAAAGCGTTGCCTTGGACGCTGTTTCATGTAATATTTCAGCCCTAGCGAAGGTCTTTCGTCTTATGTAATCCAAACTAGTCTCGATATAGTCTATCAAAGCTCCAAATACAGGGACTTTAGATTTTGAGTAGGTCATATGCTTGGGCGAATCTTGCTTATCCCCGCTTGCCATTTTGATGAAAAGATAGGCCTATTAGATATTATTTATACAAAAATAGTTTTAGATTTGCAATTTGAAAAGTAACATTACTTCTGTTTGACTTCTGTGTTGGAATGTCATAAATAACAGTAAATAACTATATAATTTACTCTCTGATATCAACTCCGAACTTGTTTTGAACAAGTTCTGGTAATGATGTTTATTCTAATGACAAAGCTAAAAATCTTAAGGGTCGGAACACAAGGCCGAAATTTTTGTCACTTTTTGCAATGTCAAAATACCTAGTTACTGCTTATGGAACGAAAGTATTTCGTGAATTATAATGAAAATATTGTCAAGGGTAGATTGTGCAATTCTTTATCTCCAGCCATAGGCAAGGTAACGAATAAATTTTTTTTGAATACGCTCTATTCTTTGGACATGAATTTCATAACTAGGGTTCCATATGGGAGAAGCGTTTTAAAGTACTACGAACCAAGACGTTGACAATTGTAATAACTGTTTTTAATATTCTTAAAATGTATAATTAAAAAAAATATTGAAATTAGTTTTTGAAGTAAGCATAAAATATCAAATTTTTCAACTGATAATTATTTCTATCACTATTCAAATAACAAAACTTACAAATCAGTTACAAAACTCAAGTTTTCTGATGCATCTTGCGTCATAGACTTTATCAATCCTATCTACTTTCCTAGGTTAAAAAATACTGAATGCAATTTTAATGTCAACTTTTAAACAAAAATCTTACACTTATTAGGTTTATTCAAAAAATATCTAAAAGATAATAGGGATGATGACTAATTTTTGTTTGTCTGTCCGTCAGATAGTGTTAAAAAATATTAAACACGTATTTTTTATTTTTTTTCGTAATCGTTACATTGAGTTGAAATTTCGCATGACGTCACGTTAGAGTACGTTTTCTACTCAACTGTGACGTAGCGAGCCCCCACTCCTCAACTTTAATGCCTGTTATCTAAACTATTTCTTGTTAAATTGAAGTAAAAAAAAATACGTATCTAATATTTTTCTATTATCTGACTGACGGACTAAATAGAATTGCATTTTTTTTTACCCAGTCATCATCCCTATTATGCCAACATATATCTACCTACTCTAGTTATGCCAAACATTATAGGAAAAATAATGCTAAAAGAATGCATCCCCAATTTCCGACTGGAACACTAGGTTCTTATTTGACGCAATTCGTGCGACCACGATTGTAATACGTACGACACAAATTCGTTCGTACTCAGTGAGTGTGGCCTATCTTAACATTGAGTGAAAATAAAGATTTGGAAATCAGTTATAAGATTAGCAATTTGATGATTTATTATTTATCAAATATATGTAAATGTAATGATACTTAGGTATGGAAGTTATCATTTGAATTATAATTGGTTAGTTATGCACATTATCTGTATTGCACATTTTTTATTCGATATCTTATGTGTATTGCCAGAACTAATAAATCATCCCAGATTTACAAAATTTATACCGTGATTGTGTTTGCCTTAATTTGGCCTTGAAAAAAATAAACAAAGACATTAACGAACATAAGTGTAAAAATAATCGTCCGCATTTTTTAAAATTAAGGTATATGCAGATTAATTTAAAATGTATCCTAACATTTCTTAAATTGGTTGTATTGATACTCAATATATACTGTAAATAAAAATACTTAATATACGTACTATAAATTAATTATAATGCAATACGCCGCACGAAACTTGTGTTAACAACTGTCGGTAATTTATCGCACATACGCCTGGCAACTTGTTTTTTTAACGATGGAACAATACAATGCTTTAGATAACCTGTGATTATATACGACGCGCCGCGCCCGCCGACCATCGCTACTGATATTTTGTTTATATTAACTGCTTATTCCATTTTTTGAACATAGTCGAGTGAGTACAAGTTATTTAATCAATTTATATAGATAATATTAAATCTGTAGCATTCATTTTCTTTGAATTTACAATACAATAAATAAAACTTTGTTAAAAGAAGTTTTTCTTATAATTTGTTTGTAAGTTCATAGATAGTATAGTTTTACCATAGTTTTTAAGGATATTTTTCTCTCTACTCAAAATAAAAGCATAAATGCAATTAAAGCATAAATTTGCGAAGAAAATTCTTATTTAATATATTTTTATACATCCATCTTCCTAGTAATATAAGTTGTTATTGGTTTAAGGTTATGTCACGATTTGTTTTCCATTGAAATGTCATCTTTTGATCCGTAAGTACCCAGATAAAAAGAAAATGGTGTACGATGAAGTGACTTTGGCTCTCAGTTAGCTTATTTTTTGTTATTTTAAGTCTGTAGTTCAGTGTGGTTCTGTAAAAATGTTAGATTCATTTGCAGAGTAGTGGTATTATACATGTATTGTATTTACCTTAAGGTGCTTTAGGGTAATAACTATGATGGGAAAATTCCGAAAATGGCGAATTACCACTAAATTTATTTATCAACAATAAAGTAAAAGTTCATAAATTAGTAGAACAAACATATTGCTTGCTTTATGTCGTTTTCGCATTAAGGCTCTATATAAAAATTGATGGAATAAATTTGTGTTACATACATAGACCAGTTCATGACTACAATAAAGAAATTGTACCTAATTAAAGCTGTGAGTTGTTATTATTTGCTAATAGATTGCTTGTCAAACAACACACACAAAAACGTTATTTTTGACATGCATAAAAAAACAAGCTCTAACCGACCTACATCAACGCGACTGCGGTAATGCGGGAAGGAATGACTAAGTATTAGAAGCTAGCAGCTGGTACTTACTTACCTACAATACCAAATTTATTCTTTCAACGGTATCTCTACTGTCTAAGAACTTTTTTGATATGTAATAAAGATACCTACTTGAGTAGGAAACAATATTTTAAGTACATTTTTTTAATTAAACTATTTAAACATTTCATGATTTTAAAACCATGTTACAGATTATAATATTATCAACATGGTGAAATCACGAAAATACGTCGTCAAAAAACATTTTCAAGGTGTTCCTAAGAAAACAGACTACGAAATAGTAGAACAAGAACTTCCATCTCTGAAGGATGGAGAGATTCTGGTCAAAGCTGAATGGATTAGCGTAGACCCGTACTTACGTGCTTACAACGCATCTCAGGTGGTACCCTACGACCAATTTAGCTACCAAGTGGCTGCTGTCGTTGAAAGTAAGAACAAAGATTACCCAGTAGGATCAAAGATCGTATCACACAGAGGTTGGGTCGATTACACTATCCTCGACCCCAAAACTGAACAAAGATTCTATAAGCTACCGAATCTCGATGGTTTATCGTCTTCATTGGGAGTAGGCGCTGTCGGTATGCCTGGTGTAACAGCCTACTATGGTTTCCTGGACATATGTAAGCCCAAAGCCGGAGAAACTGTGGTCGTAACAGGTGCTGCCGGGGCTGTAGGCTCCCTAGTTGGACAAATAGCAAAAATTAAGGGATGTCGCGTCATAGGTTTCGCAGGCTCTGATGACAAAGTTAAATGGTTGGAACAGGGATTGGGATTCGACAAAGCCTTGAACTACAAGACCGTTGATGTTGCAAAAGCTTTGAAAGAAGTAGCTCCAAAGGGAGTTGACTGCTACTTTGACAATGTCGGTGGGGAAATAAGCAGTACAATTATCAGTCAGATGAACACATACGGCAGAGTTGCTGTATGTGGAAGTATCAGCTCGTACAATGAAGATCCTAAAAAGTTACCGAAAGCAACAATTCTACAGCCAGCCTTAATATTTAAGCAATTGAAGGTTGAAGGTTTCTTAGTATGGCGTTGGGAGGATTGGAATGCGGCCTTCACTAATCTAGTGAAGTGGATTAAGGGCGGCCAGATAAAAGCCGAAGAACATGTAACTGAAGGTTTTGATAATCTATTTGATGCTTTCAATGGTATGCTCGCTGGTGAGAACAAAGGAAAAGCAGTGGTGAAAGTTTAATATTATATTCTAATTAAAAAATTTCGCTTTATGTTATTTAAATAACAATTTTATGCAGATTAATACAATAGGATAGAATGTAACAATTAAGCAACTCCTTATCAGATCCATCAATTTTCTTGTTAAACAAAATAAGGCTTGCAATTAATTAGAGAAACTTGACAGTTTTTGTCAACCTGAAACCGATATCCTGTCCCGTTAAGATCAGTAGCTATCAAAGATTTGCAATGAACCGATTTTTTCCATATGGACAACTTTCGTTTAATTAAATAGAAAAGTATATTTTACACCTACTTACAACATAACAGCTAATAAAGACAGCGAATGTATTAGAAGTATTGCATACAAAACTACTTAAAGTACAGAACATTATCTAGGAAAAAAAAATCACTGATTCACATCATAACTTACATTTTTAATCTGCGAAGAGGACCTACTAGAAACCTATATGCCATTAATATACAAAAAGGAGTCTTTGAACTCCACCATCTCAAGCTCTATACCGTGATGAGACACACAGAGATCACAGACTTAAAGCCTTTTGTCATGAGTAGTATATTACAGATGCCTATTTCTGTATCTATTATTTATTTTTTTTAAATATATTCTTTTATATAAACCTTAATTTTTTATAATATTTACTTTGTTTCAATGATTTTTTTGCATTTTTATTGAATAAAAATTGAATTATACTAATTCAACCCCTTAGCCTTTCAATTCATGTGTCAATTATACCTGACAATTACATGATTATTTTGTTTTCCAATAAATTTTGACTGTATTCATATAAAGAATAGTAGAGGCCTGAGAATGCTTCCCTGCGAGACACAGCTTTTGAAATCGTGACAGCTGAAAGAATACGACAGAATTCCATCTTTTATTAAAATGTCCACTACAACATATTATTTACAATAGGATGGGTATTATGATACTGATAGGTTACGCCTTCTTATTAAGGTTAAGTATTATAAAACAGTAAGTAAAGTAAGGTAACACATAGTCAAATGCTTTTGATAGATAAAAAAAAGAATGAAATCCACAAATTATAATTTACCTTTTCAAAACTCTAGTGGTTATTCATTATTCAAATATTTGAACATTATCGTTGTAAAGTACACAGACAGTACCGTAGACTTCGGAAAAAATCCAGAAGAATGAGAACTTGTTTCAGATAAAACTGAAAATATTTTGTGAGTATATATATTTTGGTATTTGTTCTCTCATACTCATTAGTTCTACCTAGAACGTTGCAGTTTCATTTTAACTATAAAAGGGAAGATTGGATGTCATAAAATGATTATACAATGCATTTGCGAAATCTATGGGTTTTCACTTTCAATGTTTAATCAAATTGAGCTGTATTATTTTTTAGTAATACGAATATCAGTGATATTTCTCGTAATGTACGGTGACTAAATATTTGCAAGTTTAACAATTTAAACAAGTATATATATACTAGTTCCACCCCATTCCATTTCCAGATAAAAGAAATATATCAAAACTTATTCTTATATTAAAAACAAAACTAGTTCTATTACAAATATTAACAATACAATTTTAATAAATGATGAAATAAATGTAACATTGCAAATACATACAACAATCATACAAAAGAGATTAATGTTCAAAGTTAAATATAAAGCAGGTAAATTAATAAAATAATAATAAAAAATCTAATAATAGTGATACTAAGTTTTTAAAGTTACACACACTTTCAAGTCTGCAAATAGTGTCTGATTGATAAGATATATTCATAAACATGCATAAATACAATATAGTTAACAAAATATTATTTAATCTACTGCCGTACTCAGAAAAGCAAAAACAAGAAAAGCAAAATTATACCAGCCTTTAAAAAGTTAAATGATATCTTTGAATATGGCAGTTAGATTTAGACTTCGCCAATAAATATATGGCAGCATTGCTAGCTGGCAGCGTATAATAATACCTAAACCGTAAAATACCTACAAAATAACAAGTCTATTGATAATAAAAAATGAACTCCTGAAAAAAATACATCGTCATTTTTGCGAATGTGTTTACAGGATATTTGACACTATTTAAAATAAGTTGCATGTTTAGTCATAGATGATCTAATAAAGTTTATTTCTTAGAATCTGCAGACGAAATATGTTCAGCTTTAGTAAAATAACATAAAGAAAATGCAACATTTTTTGGAATTTAATGAACGACGAAAACACCCTATAATTAATTAGTTGTCGTCGCAACCAATAACAAGTTCTGTTTACCGGCGTATGACGTCACAAGTAAACAGGAAGCTGTTATGTCAAAACAGTGTTATTAGAGATACGCAAAATTTGTATTTATAAATACAATTTGTAGCTCATTCTTATAAACAAAACTATAGTAGATACAAATACAAAACATAAAATTTCTCTTTTGTAACACTATTTGTTTACTTTATAAATAAATAGTTGATAGATAGGTTATGTTTCCTTGACATATTTACAGGTTGATTTTGGCTTTTTAAACTTTAACAATGATTTTCATCGAAAAAAGAACAGATTCCCAGGAAATATATTGACTGTGTGTTTATAATGTATCAAACAACCACTTAACATAGTTTTCAGAAAAGTGTCAAATATCTTATTATAACCTTAACTTTGTCTACAACATAAAATCAGACTTAGCTCTTATTCTATGTAATACATAAATTGATATTAAAGCGACATAATTATAATTCCACCTGGTACAAATAGCCGCATTTCAAGTTTCCACAAAATGTCCAATTTATGGACCTGAAATTGAACCTTTTCAAATCAAGTGGAAAAATTAGACAGTTTGTACGTACTACTGACTGTACCCATGACTTGAATGTTTTCAACTAAAAGCAACTTTTTCTGCTTTCATTAAAAAAAAAACTTAAAAAAAATAGCTAGTTAAATAAGCAAAACACAAGTTAGAAAACATAAATGCAGCACTATTCTAGTTCAGATCACTTTATTCTTAATTCAAACACACAGGATTTGTTATCTCTCACGCATCAAATGAAAAAGTACGTCACTTTCTCTGAATATGAATGCGACAAAGATAGATAACAATTATGTATTCAATCTGCCAACTTGAAAGAAGAAAACATTACAATATATAAAATTACATGTTTTCTTTAAACTTCAAAAATATAAAAGTCGAAAATCAAATGTTCAACATGTTTAGTACTTTGTATTTTACTAGCCTTAAAATTCAAGATATAACGCACGTCGGATTGTTTTAAATTACATAACATAAACCTTATTTCAAATCGCAGATGACAATTTAAGGCAAAAAAAAAAACATTTTCAAAGCTTTTTTAAGAAGTTTCATTAAGATGGTCATTTATTTATAGTAAAATAATTTTATATTTTATTAGTAAAAAGAGATTATTTTAGTATGGAGCCTGGCTCTGCCACGGATTAGCCATTTTTAGGACACGTTTCCGAAAAGTGAGTTGTCAAAGTCATATCGAAATGCATCAGCCAATTTTTGCGGTAACTAGTATTACTGTAACATAACTTTGATTCTCTTTAGATACTTTAAAACAATACTACCCAAATTAGGGGTTTTGAAGCTATATTGTGTGGGCCCCAATATTCGCGATTCGCCACTGTAAATGGTTCCTTTTTTAGACAGACGGATTATTTATTCACATAAAAATAACGGGCCGGTAAGTTAACCAAAATATTCAGAACTACCCAATAAAAAAATCAAACTATTTCATCTACAACAAGGCTAATAATTAATTATTACTTGATCAATGGATGCATCCAGACAAACATCTAAGAAAACATTCGTTGATTTCTTATATGCTTATTGATTCAAATCAAAATTATACATTCCGTCCTACTCCATACTTATATTTAAAGAGAGAACAATAGAGATGATGACTGGGTTATTAAAAAAAACTATTTAGTCCTTCAGTTAAATATTAAAATATGTTAGGTACATGTTTTGCTTCAATCGAACAAGAGATTAGAAAATATTCATTAAAATTGATGAGTGGGGCTACGTCACAAGTATGTAGAAAATGTACAAAGGTGTGACGTCATGCGACATTTCAACGCAATGTATCGCCCTTATTTATTGTTTACGGAAACGTGTTTATGATCTAACTGACGGACAGACAAACAAAAATTAGCCATCATCCTTATTCATGTTTCAGAAATCGTTCATAAGTTATATAACACTTTAATTTCACTATCAGCTTGTATACCACATAAACCACAACACTTTTATCGATTCACACACCATTTTAAAAGAGAATTGTTTCGTTCAGATGCCCTTGTCCATACGACGATCCGAATAAATGTTTAGCTCAATAAATCAGTTCACGTGTTCGCACGTTTCGGTGCGGATGCGTTTGCGTCGCCTTCGCTTGACTTCCGTTTCCTCTTGATAAGATGAGAGATATCTGAAGCAGCCGGTTTAGGTTGAATTGTGCTACTACTCTCTCCAGCGCCATTAGTATTCGAAGAAGAAGCCCCTTCGCCGTTAGAGGGGCATAACGCATCTCGCACCCGTTTTATCGTCTGAAATGATATTATATTGTTTTAAACTTGGGGCCGTCCATTAATCACGTGATGTTTTTTCAGCATTTTTAATCCCCCCCTCCCCTTAGTTTAAGACAACCACCACGTCACGTGTATTATTAGTACCTACAAAAAATCTTAATTTTAGACGCCGCTTTTCGCTTTAGTAATCGCTCGGTTGAGGAAATGATGACACGTGATACATTACTACAACTTGTGATTTTTAACGACTCCCCCCCCCCCTTTCTCACGTGATTAATGGACGGCCCCTTTTCATGGTCATTAACGGGTATCGAACGGACTCGAATGAAGTTAGATTGATATATCTGATAATAAAAACGTATATATGGTTTATTGCGATCTGTCACAATCCGGCATTTAGCAATAGTTTAATGACACTTTAATTTAATATTCTTTATGTGCTAATAAGTCCAGTGACATGTCCAATTCAATGGTGTTCACTAATTCTGTGAAAGTTATTCATATGCACAGGTCCAAAGGGGACTTCAGTTTCAATCTAGAAAACACAATTGTTAACCTTGAGAGAGTAGCTCGGTGGCGTAGTGCATAAGCGTCGCGGCCCGCGATCGTTGTAGTTAGTCAACTTTCGCAAGAGTCGGTCACGGGATGGATGACCAAAAAATTAGTATCTCAAGCTACTCCATGGCAGGTTAATCTGTTGGTCCCGGCTGAATTTGTAGTTGTTAATACCCTCCAATCCGTATTGGGCCAGCCAGGAGGGTCATGGCCCGTCCTCCTTAACCATCCATAAGAAAGGCCTGAGCCCCTGCAGTTGAGACGTAAAAGGACTGATGATGATGAACCTTGAGAGCTCTGTTGCAAGTTTATTTTTACGATTTTGTAAGCAGTTCCTATATTTTGCCATAATATAAAAATAATATTTTGAATATCTAGTAGATTGTTCCTGTATAATGATCGACCTCATTATAAGTTAATTTTTTAATAGAACAATGAATCAACAAGTACAAGAACACGACATAGTTACTAAATCAGCTAAAACCTAATATGGACGAGCATTCATATTAGGGGTGATGACTGGGTAAAAAAAAAAATTCTATTGATTCCGTCATTTAAAAATTAGAAAAATATTAAATACGTATTTCTTTGCTTCAATTTAACACGGAATTGCTTAGATAATAGGCATTAAAGCTAAGGAGTAGGGGCTCTCTATGTCACAACTATGTATAAAATGTACAAAGGTGTGACGTCATACAACAGTAACACCGTAATTTAGTGATTACGCAAAAGTCGAAAAAATGCGTGTATAATATTTTGCAATAGTCTACCCGACGAAACAGAATTTCAATCATTAGGCCTCTTACGTCACTGCAGAGGCTCAGGCCTTCCAGGCCTGTCTCTTTCCAGGTTATGAAGCCATGAGCTTGACCGTGCTGGCACATTTCTAAACTAGTCTGTGTTACGATTTAATTAAGCATTTTCTTAGTTCCTTAATATTAAATAATAACATACAATTTTTGTAATAAAGTTATTCATTCTCCCATTCTGCACAACCATCGGTAAAACCCTCCTATCCGCATTGAGTCTTCACGCTGGCCCAATACGGATTGTAGGGTATTACCGATTATTTTAAAATCGGATTGGACAGTATTACCGATGTGTGTGTTATTACTAATTTCATTTTTAAAATGGAAGAGGGTCGCGCTGTCAGCCAGACTCACCAAGAATTCATTTTCAAATCCAAGAGGGTAGTGCTGCCAGCTTAACAGACTTGGGACTTAATTTTAACGAACGACTTAACGATAATTAATTTCACAATATTGCTGTGCTGTGATGCTACTAGACGTATAGACACCGCCTGTATATGTAATTACACTTTTCAAGAAATGTTTACTGATACGGCACATAACAGCACACCAGTATACTGCAAGGTCAATTTTCCACGATCAATATTGAACTCTACTATCAAGGTTCAAGGTTGAAAATATTTTTGTAAAGTTGAATATTCATTACTACTCTGCTGGCTTATTGGTATGGCTGATAAGATCGGCGTGAGGATGATTTATTTGAATCGAATAATTATTATTATTCAGTTATTTGTTTATCGTCCACTAAAATGACCCATTAGAATAAGTATTAAAATAGTCCAGTATGACATCAATGGCCATGATTTTTTTAACAAATTTAAATAACAATTTCACCACATGGCCATTAATGCAAAGGTGTCCTGTGAAAATAATAGAGATCTTAATATTGGAAATCATTTAATTCAAAATATGTAAATGACATGATACAAAAATGGCCTTGTGGTCAAAATGTTTACTTATGTCTAATCACAAAAATAGCCTTAAAAACTAATACACAAAATCATAAAATGAAACTGAAAATTGAATAAACTCAACTCAATTACAGATCAATGAAGTATTCCCCATAATTAAGTAATAAAAAATGATACATCAAATTAGGTTCATTAAAAAACTAAATTTCATAGGTAAGCTGAGTATTCAAAATTTAAAAGAAAATCGAAATTAGAACTAAAAACAATCACAAAATCGATTTAAAATACCAATACTGACATTAACAACAACAATACAATAAACATCACAGAATTTTATCAAATTTTTGGCACAACACAAAAGTTCCTAAAAACAACATCACTAAATTAATGGAATGTGATTATCGATCATGGTTAAAAAACAGTCTTTTAATTCAGTCTGAAATTATTCTTATTACTATATTACTAAAAGAAAATCGTATATTATTATTTTAATATTAAGGCACAGACTAATTAAATCGCATCACAGACTATTTCCGAAATGTGTCATGGTACTAATATTATCATACTGCATGCTTTCTTCTGTATTTTTTGCTTTTGAGGATGAGAATTATTTAAAATACATAATAATTAAAGATGACATCAAAAGTAATGCAACTTTTAAGGAAATAATAATTAGGGTATTAAATAAATAGTATCCTAACATACTTGAACATTGTAATGCCTCTCTTTTATAATCATATTTCGAAGCATTCGTCTCGTTTCTTCTAAGCATTCACATGGCCTTACCTCTGCTTTATAATCCATCATGTCTTGTATTTTCTCTTTTATTTCAGGCAAAAGTTCCTTTAGCTCCTTAATCTCAGCCTCAATGGAATAGAATGGGTCGGAAGCTTCGAAATTCTTAGCCGTTTCGGGATTCTCCAGCATCTTGATACGAGTTTCGAGGATGTTCGCGGCGTTCTTGAAATGAGTAATGGCGTCTTCGAAGTTAGAAGCCAATGAGTTTGCTAAGCCTGTAAAATAACCGAATAATTTGAATAACAAACCAGTCTTGTCATTTAAATAAAACAGTTAGAGATGAATACTAGAAGCTAGTTTTTGATGTTGTTTTTTTTTTACTTTGCAACTAAATGTAAATTTCATAAATTATAATAATTATTATATTTAATCAATTTTGCATTCACATTCATAATTCTATAACCACAATGCTATACTGACAAAATACTTCTAATGAAAAATGCCCAAAAAATCCACTTTATCCCTGGCACTAAGATGGGGACTTTGATTCCCATTGATTTTTTTTGCAATGTTCATTGGGAGTATATAATATTTACTTTTAAGCCTATAATGACACAACAGTAGAGAGATCGCGATTAATGCTTTAACAGGAAGTATAGATTTATATATAGCAAGGAGAATACATACCAATTTGATAGTGTGTCTCTGCAATTCTTCTATCATAATCCATATACACTTCTTTCTGTAGTTCCAAGCAGCTTTCTGTTAACACCAAAAAGTTTCCTTTTTTTATTATTAATCTTATACAATTTACAATCATCGTCAATAGTATATCAATTAAAACTTTGCTTATAGACATTTGGTCAGTTGCACAAACGTACATTAAGGTTTAATGACGCCTTTAAGCTCTAATGACTGTCAAATTTGTATGGGTAATGTCGCTTTAAACTAATGATAATTTTAATGGACGTTTGTGCAACTAACAGATTGTGATACATACAGTGAAGATATATGACGCCTTTAAGCTCTAATGACTGTCAAATTTGTATGGGTAATGTCGCTTTAAACTAATGATAATTTTAATGGACGTTTGTGCAACTAACAGATTGTGATACATACAGTGAAGATATATTTACATCTTCACACCAAATGCAGATGCAGGGCAGGCAGGATAGTGGTAATATACTAAAAGTTTTCATCGGTAAACCTTAATGGACACACAACTGACCGAGATACAACCAAGATTTGTTGGAGTGAGTAAATATTAAAATAAAAATCTTGTTATTCAACCTGTACAGACAACAATCTTATTGTGATATAAGGGGACCAGGAACAAAATACTATTCTTGTTACTATTGTAACTACTTTTTTCAGCCAAAAGACATCCTGAACGAGTGGTAGAGGAAAAAATGTTGCATGATTCAAAGATTTGAATAAAGACTATTTTGATTATGACTTGATTGTGCCAAACTTAAAACAACAATGAAATACTTTAAATATCTTACGCATATCAATGACTGCTTTGTCGTAAGTTTCGCTTTCTAGCGCAACTTCACCCAACGTGAGATACACTTCAGCCAATAAGCTACGAGCTGGAACATCACCCTTTTCCTGCACGCGTCGCTGTAAGATACTACGGGCCAAATCTAATAAAACATAGAAAAAAACAAGTTTATAAATAAATAATAATCATCAACTTATTCTCTCATGCTGGAACAATTTGTCTGTGATAATACAAGTTATTTCAAACCAAGAACAGGATCTTCTAACTTAAACGCTATCAAGAGCATGCTTACATCAATTTCTTTTGACACAAACTGCTTCTGTAAAATGTGTATAAACTATACTTACATTATAAAGAGGAATGATTTGATTGTTTGTTTGTTTGTTTGCATCGAATAGGCACTGAAACTATTGCAAGTGATTTTAAATAATTTTCACCTACGGGAAACTATGCGGGTGACATATGCTATAATTTACAAGGGTAAAATCGCGGGAAAACAGTTCTTAATATAAAGCTTAGCTTGCTATACATAATTTGTAACAAGGAATAAATCTAGACCTATATAATAGGGACAGTGGAAGTCAGTTTAAACTGACTCAAGTTTATATTCATGACCAGAAAAATGAGATCATTTTTTTTATCAGTACTTTGTTTTAATATTTTTGTTTGTTTGTCCGTCAGATAGACTGTTGAAAAAATATTAATCACGTATTTTTTCGTCATCAGTAAATTACGGCGATACATTAAGTTAAAATGTCACATGACGTCACGCTTTGATACATTTTCGACAACTGTGACGTAGTGAGCCCCCACTCCTCAACTTTAATGCCTGTTATCTAAGCTATTTCTCGTTAAATTGATGTGAAAAAATAAAATATGTATCTAATATTTTTCTATTATCTGATTGAGAAAAATATTAGATATGGACTAAATATAATTTTTTTACTCAGTAGTCATCCCTATTGTCCAAAAATGACAGTCTATAAAACTTACCAAGCATTTCCCAAGCCAGTTGTAAGTTATCTACATCATCTTCATTGTCCAAATTCACTTCTGATTCATCATTAACTTCACCATTAGAAGGACCCTGTGAGAGAGAAAATTCCATAAATAAAGTCTTATCCACTTCTCAAAAAGAACTCGTTACAAATTCAAACAATTTGGATGTGTTCAAATCTTTATAAGAATATAGAGGCAATGATGCTGATATAACTCATCTGTAATTTTATAATCATTTCATTTTGAAAATGTTATTTATATTTTCTATGCCTTGACATAAACTCTTTAAAAATTAGACACAGCCTCCATGGAGATTTTTTTTTTTAAATTGACAACTATAAATAAGAAAATTCATATTTCTCTGTAATCCAAAGTCTTCTTTTTTTTGAAATGCTCATATGACACAAAAGAAACTCATTTTTGATAATTTATAATGCAAACTAAGTACACGGTTAATTAAACTAATAGCTATAATTATAACAAAATTATAAGAATCCATTTTTTCATTTGAGGCCAAAACGAAGTGGCTCAAAGGTGTCATGTTAATTTATACAGATTATACTTACTGGTTCATTCTTAGAGTCATTTGCTTCAGACCCTGCATCTTTGCTTTCTTCCTCTTTCATTGTCGACTCTGGCTTAGGTGCATCCAGTTCAGAGGCTAATGCTTCAGATTCTATTGCATTTTCACCATTTTTTTCATCCTCTTCATCATCGTCTTCTTCTTGATTTAGATGAAGATAAGAAAATTAAGCTTTATAATATCAGTTTTTCATCCAACAAATCATGGGAATGTGTAAAAATAACATAAATTAGCTCTAGTCGGCAAGATAATCTCAATGAACCAGTATAAAGATTATTAATTAGAAATTTATTAACTTAACCCAAATTCAATCGCTTATGAACATCAAAAAGATACAATATCAGAGAGAGACCATGTAGATAATATATCATGATCTTGGCTCCTCTGCCCCTATCACTAAACTGTTCCATAATTATTTTCAAGTTAGCATAACATGACATCATAAGGTTACTTTCAACTGGTATTGCAATAAGTCAATAATAGTTATCAAACAAATTCACTTACCTTCATTCTCTTCATCTTCATTATCAGCATTTCCAACACCTGGCACACCATCTCCGAGAACCCCACTCTCTTCTCTAGATAAACCCAAAAGACTCTTCCCATACCTAAAAAAAAATTGCAATTTTTATAAATGTTGATTTATTCAATTACATTTAAAAAAATGAATGCAAAATTACTCAAATATCTATAATATTAATACACTACATATTTTTGGGATATTGATGTTTTGATCTTAAAATTAGAAATAGACATGATAATCTTAAGTTAAATATTATAATTACTACATAAATACCAAATTAAAATGCTGGTGGCAAGTCAACTCTTTAGATACAAATAAAAAAAAATTACCTACTTAGGTTCAATAACTTACATACACAATTAATGGTTAGTTACATTAATGTTTATTTAATTTAATTAGTGAACTAGACAATAAAATATCTTTCAAATCTATTTTGAGCTAGTAGAGAGTAATAGAAATACTTGTTCGAAGTTACCATAGGTATGCATCAGCACACTCATCTGCTGTGTCTCCATGATTTTTGGCGAGAATTTCACAAGCTCTAGCCAGTGTTTCTACTGCACTACTGAAGTCACGCACAGCATAATGCCTTCTTCCTACACTGAGCAGGTCCGATGGGTTATCTACTTCAGGAACTAATGCCATCTGAAATTGGTAGAATATTTAGTAAATATACAATATAGATCTCTCTTCCCCCCATATTTCACCTGCAACCCTATATCATAGTTCATCTTGTGAAAGATGCCCTTGGATCACAATACCCTTGGAGCAAATTTATTAAAAAACATAATATCAAACTATAACAATAAATATTGCAAAATCCTCTTTTATGTATTTAAATTATCTTAGTTATAGTGACACTGATGTGTTCTTAAAACTACCAAACAGGTTATTTGACATTACTATCAATGGACTAAATAGTTTGTGACAAAGACATAAAAATTAACATGTGATAATGATTGTTTAAGATTTTAGTAAAATTATGGCGAGTGAGAGCTTACTAGAAAAGCAGGGTAGGCTAGATCTTTCATTAAAAAAATTATACATTCTTAAGGAGCGGGTACTTGAGTGTATTTTGATAATAAAATTTGGCAATGGCAACTTCCAGTAAACAGCTAAATAGAGACAATCTTACAATATGTAGTTAGTTATATTAACTTTCTAACTGAATTCTTTACTCCAACTAACGGTCGCTTCCAATTATTATAAAATACTTCAGTTTTTCGCCACAACCGCATATTTCCTCTACTAAAAGCATAATATGGACTTCAAATTATGCTTTAACGATATAGAACATTGTTATAACAATAGTTACTCTTGGAATTAAAGAAAGAAAGGAATAATTTGCAAGAGCATACCGCCAACGCCATGATCACACATGCGGCAAGGCAAAACAGTTTACAATATTAGATATTGGTACTTTATATTTCTTCACTTACCTCAAAACTATATTAAGAGTTTTCTACACAAAAAATTATTAATTTTAACTACTAAAACGTTTTACAAACAAATAGCAACAAATTATAATAAAATTAAAACAAGGTAAGTAGGCGGCAAAATAGAATGAAAGAAAAATGACAGTTGTATTACGTTCGATACGAGTAAATACAAGTACATAGTTACTCGATACTTTTCTGAAGTAAGTTTTTACTTGGTCGGTCACTCAATCGATACTTATTTGTATCGAATAGTTTTATAAATGCATTACCATCGCCGTCATTTAAAAAAAAATAGAGCATATATTTATAGATTGATTTATAATGAATTGCAATACTATGTTGACGAAAGAGAGAGAAGCAGTTCCAGCTATAAAAAGCGTTGCATTGCTTATAGTCAAGTATAGGTTTAAAATTTTGTTAACAGTACAGTCATACTACAGGGACGCCGCACCTTTAAGATTTTTTCATGAAATAAGCTTTAGAAACCTTATCACAGAATCGACAGTCCTAATCACGCGAGTTTTTTGACACTTCCCAGTGAGTGACCGACCAAGTACAAAGAATAACACCCATTTTCATTAACCTAGAACAAGACATAGCCTAACTAAGAAACGCCTAATCTTATGAATTGCCTAATCAAACGAGTTTAATTCCATATGATCATTTTTTCTTTTATCTCTTGACACATATGTATGGTACACTGTTAAATTACGGAGATACCTAGCGCAAGTCGCCTCATATCGCATATCATGACTGTAAACAGTACTCAATGTCATTAGGTAGTTCCTAATCATTAGTGAAATACTTTTTCACCTTAGGCGATTCCTAAATATTTAGGTAACAGATTTAAGCGACTCCTGAATTTAGTAAAAACGGGCATTACTCCACGACACTAGTCGTTATTCGGTTCGAAAGAATCAATTCCAAAAATACTTGGTATCAAAAGAAAAGAGAAGAAATATAAAGTACCAATAATCTTCCTTTCTTTAATTCCAAGTGTAACTATTGTTTTATCAATGTTCTCTATATTTAAAGCATGATTTGAAGTCCACATTATTCTTTTAATATAAAGAAAATACGACAGCGTAAAAAACTGAAATGTTATAAATTATAGAAAACGACTGTTAGTTGGTCTAAAGAATTCAATCAGAAAGTTAAACATATTATTTTGATAGCTACGCCATACTCCGATGAAACAGGTTATAATTAACGCGGCTAGTTAACAGTTAATTTACGCTCGTGGGGTACAGGCAGGTTGAAGGCAACATCGATTGGCGATAATCGAAACTATTGTACTTTCTCGCTCTCTATACTGCAAAATCCGAGGTCCGAGTCAGACTCAAACAATTCTGCATATGTGTTACAATCAGCAATTAGACGTGCTAATAGTTATCTTCAGGAGTTTTCTGAGATCAAACGTTTGATGTATGAGTTCTCTGAGAGCTCAAGATATTTTTCGCTAACAATGAATGCTGCAGATTCAAATTTGATAATGCACGAGCGTCAAAAAAAAAAAATGCGTTCATATCATTTATTTTTTTTGTTCGCTCAAAAAAATTGACTTTGCACACTCGACAGAAATCGTTGCAATAAGTGTGATACGTCAAAAAATAAGACTTGCTTCAAGTTTGCCATGACAACTGCAGCAACTAGCAGCAAGTTTTAATCAAACTTTCTATTTTCAGAGTGGCAAACCTGTGTGGCAAACTACCCAACAGGTACTCGAGTACCTGGATGGAATACAATATTACTTTAAGTTTACTAAGTTTTTATTAATCTTTTGATTATTCAAAACTTTTGGTCCAAAAGCGATTGCGACTTTAAACTCAGACCACAGCCAGAGCCAGCCTAAGAGCCAAAGTAATTAACTGAAACGGTTGGTTTCGAATCCCATATTAAGATCACTTTTGTTTTTCGACTCTCAACCTTAGGGTTTCGGAACCACCTTCTCAGCGGGAGAAGGACGCGGTGAATCCTTCATTGGATACCTCGAAGCCGGCTGTGAGGTTATGTCAGACTCCTACTGACTAAACACCGCCTTGGATAGTTGGTTACGTGCCCTGAAGGGGCAACGAACCTTCATCGGAGCGACTGCACCCCGCAAGGGGGAGGCAGCGCCGACATCCCTATTCACTTACATGAATAGTGACGTCGAGGCATTAGCCGTTATCCCCGGGGTAACGGTTCATCGGATGTTAATAAATTGAATTAAAATTTTAATTAAATTGAATTTGAATTTATGTAAGGTTAAGTCCCTGCCGCGTAGGGATGAGCCCCTCACTCGCAAGGTGCCTTGTTTGAGATCCTCATTTCAACAAAATAAGGGAGTACTCGTTTTCCAATTTGAACCACCTCATTAAGCTCCTCACTTTTTGAGGCTTCAAGTGCGAGCTCTTTCAGAGACCAAGCGCATTTCTCTATCAAAGGAAGTTTTATACTCATACCATACTGTATGTATGTTACGGTCAGCAGTTAGACGCGCTATGCGATCTTCAGAAGTTTCCTGAGATCAAACGCTTGTTGTATGAGTTCTCCGAGAGCTCAAGAGATTGTCCATGACGGTAAATGCTTCAGATTCAACTTTATAGTGCATGAGCCTCGCGATGGGCAGTTAAATACCTACGCTTCGCATTTTTCAGGGGTCTCCCGAGACCAAGCGCTTTCCGTCCGTCCTCTTTCTTTGTCAATAAAAGTCAATCGGTACATGTCTGACGTAAGATATGTGGCGTTTTATTTATTGATATAAAAAATATATACATATTTTAATTTCGACTTTATACACTCGAAGTAAATCGTCTACTAACACATACTTCCGAAAGGTGCTTAACTGAGCTTCCGTCAGATTTGACCGGCCCTCATCTTCATCATCATCATCATCAGACCTTTTACGTCATTAACTGCAGGAGCTCAGGCCTTCCTTATGGATGGTTAAGGAGGATGGGCCACAACCCTCCATGCTAGCTCAATGCGGATTGGAGGATATTAACGACTGCAAATAGAACCGGGACCATTCGCTTTACGTGCCTTTCGAAGCTTGGAGTTGCTTGAGATAATATTTTTTGGTCACCCATCCTGTGACCGACCTTTGCGAAGGTTGCTTAACAAGTACAATCGCGGGCCTTGGCGCTTATTCACTACGCCACCAAGCTACTCTGAACTGACCCTCAGACTTGCGTAATATTATATGAGTGCTGTGACCAATAAATAAACCATTGTTTCCAGTGACGACTGAAAATACCAACTTTGAAGTACGAATCTACAGCAATTTGTATGTTTAAAAAAAAATATTAACATAAAAAATAGTAATAAGACAAAAAAAATATCTCGAGTTTTCTGTACGTTCTTAACATTAGTTGATGTAAATCTAACTTTTTTAACGTCGTGGAAAAGCTTCTGTCATTGTCTCTGTTACCTGGCAAGCAACAGGGGGTGAGTAGGATTCTCCTCCGTGAACCCAACTGTGAGCTGCCCAGTGGGTCCCCAGAGGCCTACCCACCAAAACCCGTACGCTATACCCACTCATGGGAGATGAAACCCGGCAAGCTATGGCCGAGTCACCAGGTCACTCAAGTATTGGACCATTAATCCCCTTGCAGATGCAAAATTGGAGAGGCTCGGGTAAATCGAGTGCCTCTCCCACACAGACGAAACCGTGCAATGCGGGGGCGGCTGCCAACCACCTCCGCTGGCCCCGAAGACGACGCGAGCCTAATCTGATAAAAATATACGTTCACTGTAAACTACTCGATGCTTAATTGCATCATCGGAAAGCTCTTTTAGCTTGTTCTCCTGCTCGCGTGATCGTATACCACCCGTCCATTATAAGCTGAACCCTATTTAATATGATTGGCCATATATAAATGAGGTCAACTTACTTCGGAGTATTCAAAACTTTGGAATCTTATTTTTTTATTTGTCATCATACAAATTATCATTTTATAGACAATATTAATTCGTAGTTCGGTGGCGCTAGGGATAAACGCCGCTGTGCACGATCGCTATTGCTAAGCAATATTCGCAAGAGTTATTCACGGAATGGGTGACCAAAAATTTTTAAACAAAGGCCTGCGGCCCTGCAGTTTGGCTGTGAAAGAGTTAATGATGATGATTTTCGTCTTTGATATATCATCAAATACGAAAATTTAATAAAACAGTTAATATTTCATAGCAATTTTGGCGAACGCTTCACTTCAAATTGACATAACT